ACGTAAAATAATAGGCCTAATTTTAATAGTAACTGCAAACTTATATACCTACAATAATAATATACTTCTATTGAATCCATAGAGATAATATAGAATAAAAAGATTGTATTAATGATAACCAACATAATTATATATCTCTTAGCTCGTGTATATAGAACATTTCAGAAACTCTGTTACAAAGTAATACTTTTTAATAATATTACCAGAACACCTTGTATAATGTTAAAAATGTTTTAGAATGATTTCTAGCTGTTGTTTCATAGGACAATAATAACAACTTACTAAGGTAAAGAAGGATGGTGTAACATTTAAGCTTGTGTGAATGTGTAGAAGTATTCACAGCACTGAACCTATAATTTTTTATGAATACAATATAGACAGAGTAACTGCAGCTAAACAAGCTTTGTATTACGAATACTGTAGCATGTACTTGGACACTGTAGGTAGTAGACTAATCGCACAGCTTCGATATAGGGATTCAGACTACACAATACCTGCTTGCGACCCATAGGGAGGTGGAGAGTCAAGCTCGGTCTCATCACCCCACTGTTGGGCAGTATGTCCCAACAGAGTATGTGTGTCTTCATTGCACAGCCGTTCAGGAAAGTTTACCCCATCGCCAAAACTGTAACCCACACCCTACCTTCTACTTGATGTTATCCCACATGTACTCAGAGATAGCGTAACTACTTGTTTTTAGTAGCACTTTTCAACTAGAAATTTCGATCATTGAACGCATAGATTCTCATAAGATCGTTTTACGATGTATAATTTAAAAAACTGCTAAGTAAAAATAGTTACGCCACTTCTAACAAGTTATCATGTATCAGCCTGTAAGAACCAGATGCACAATACCTCTTAAAATTGTAAGAAATTTTTAATCATAATTGATCAATGTACAATACGATGCATCTACCTAAAAAAAGAAAGAACACGTGCACTGTTTAAATATCAATTTAGAATTAAGCTAATATCTATGTTTAAATTGTTTCAGATAAAAAATTTAATTTTATTGAGAATGGAACAATGAATATTATATATATATATATATGAAACATGTGTCGAATATATATACTGTACAGAATCGAAACAGGAATAACAGTATTTTTGAACACAACACAGGGATTATGTTTTTCAATGTATTGTCGCAAGTTAGGCTTATATTGACTAAAGTTTTAAGATAGTTCAAAAACATATTTTAAAAAATAAGAAAGCATATATCAGCTAACAACAGATATATCGACAAGAGGCTTAAACCGAACATACAGTTATAGTGCAGAAGTCATAATTTCGTTAGTCTTCCATTGTCACAAATACAAATATCAATGTTAGCTATAATCAAATAAAATTAATAAGTGTAATAACTACCCTTTACAATACCACTATATGTAGACTAGAAAAAAATGAAGACACAATAGAAATGAACAATCGCATGCATTTAGGAAGCAACATGTATGCATCTTCATTACTTTGGAACTCCGTGTAAGTGTAAAATAAACGAGAAACGAAAATCTTTGAAACGAGAGATGATATTCTTTTAAAAATTGAACGTATGGATCTGACGATAAGAAAAACAAAATTATGAAGAAAATGTTTCGTTTCAAATGAGTATGTACATAGACAATTTATATTACCATTCGTACGTTTAAACTATGAACTGCCTTTCAATCAATGATACTAATGAGTTCCATAGTAAAGGTTATTATAACTATTAACTGGAGATTTTACACTTCTATAATGCTGACCTGTTTCGAGTACTGCCCATGGAGTCGTAAGTATTGGGCGGGCCTTGATGTTGCGCGCGTACTGCATACGTGACACCATTTCCAAGACTAGAACACATTCAACGCACCCATCGCGATTTAACTAATTCATACAATTACTATTAGACATAGTAATGTGATAAATCAATTAAAATATTGGAAACTCTTAGTACTCTATTAATTTTCTTTTCCTAGTTTGATGTCAAACGAAACAAGATGTTCATTTTTACATATAATTTTGATTTTGAAGGCAGTTTATAAATTTGTATATGATATTTACAGAACAATGACATTGTTTTAACATTTGACTTTACCATTTTCTTCATTTCATATCTTATCTGTGAAATGAAAACTTATTTGTGAAGTTGTACTACACATCTACACAGATCAGTGCATACATAGAAAAAAAATACAATATGTTGAATAACACTACAGGCTCAATATATCTTCATAAGAGGTTCTAACTTTCTACACATGATCGTATTTAGTATTGGAAAATTCAAATTTGTTCTGAAACACTCAATATCTAACATCCATCACTTTATACTAGATTCTACTTTGTATATAAATGATTTATCGAAAGTACAAAAGAAGAATGTATGTATGAAAGTTACATAGTACAAGGAGCCAAACGTTTCGAAGTGCACAGGGTGTTTCCTTTAACGCGACGCACGATTTTTCATCCACTTGCAGCCTGTCTGACAAAATAACATTTAGAACAAAAGTTGCAGGGTATGGAGTGTACAATAGATATTTATTTAGGGACGTCGAGATTCGGGATTTTAAAACACATGTGTCCCTCAGGAAACCATGTAACTTTCGTTCTAAACAGTTTTTCGTCGAACGAGTAATTCCCGTGTTATATGAAGTCGTCATGTTACGAGACTCACCCTGTATATACATATATGTTTATTTATGTATACAGATGTATATATATATATATATATATATATATATATATATATATATATATATATATATACAATCCATATTTATTATATAATGAATACATTATCATGTAGGAAACAAACATAAATTGTAAGTACTGAAAGTAGCGCATTAATTTTTCATATTGTGCAAATGGTTCACAGTTTAATCTTAAAAATTCTATAAATATCATTCTAATGAAAACACTGTATCATAAAATACAACATTGATATCACGATCGAAGAACATACCTAGTAAAAACAGGAAGGAACCACAGTCTAGGATTATCGCCAAACACTTCTTGAAAATTTTTATATTTTCCAAGACTAAAACCATCTTTGTCCTTTCCTGTGCGGAACATGGGTGGAGTAAATGCCTCTGCAAATATATCATTAGAAACAATCTAAATATTGTCGTATGTCGTATGTAAGATATGCAAATTATTTTTTTATATTCAGAAATCTTTAGTTACCTAATGTTGATCTGTTACGTAAAACCAGATAACAATGGTACAGGAAAAGAGAATTTAGGCTAACTGTGAACATCAATGCCACAAAGAATAAGAAGAAGAGTTGAAATCTACTCATTCCTTCCAATTCTCCCTATAGAAGAAATGCTTGTATCATAATGGGAATGAAATCCCAACTTGAAATACATTACAGATTTAAGTTGTTTGTATAAAAGTTCCTTTTTGTACTTACTTTGCAAAAACGTATAAAATACTGTAAAGATGTAGCCGTAATGAATAAAGAATAAAGAAAAGCATATGCCAGAAACAACATGAAGAACTTGTAGTTATGAAAGCCTACACAGTTGTTTACCCATGGACAATGGTGATCCATTTTTAAAACACATGTCCTGCACACATTGCAATGGTGTGCTCGATCAGGCTTAATCAACTGACATTTCTCGCAGAAACGTATTACTAGAAAAGAAATAAATTGATTCTAAGTAGATAGTATATACAGAATAAGTTTGGTTAAGGCTATGTACTGAATATACCTCCTTTGATGGTAAGATTTGTGACTGGAAGATCTTGTGCAAATCTTTCTAAAATTTGTCTGCGCGCTTCCTCTGTTTCGGCTTGTTGAAATTTTTCCATTTCTATATCTGGTATTCTAAACTGTATATAACATTATATTTATTATTGTAGTTATGTTTGTATAACGGAAGCTATCAGAGAATTAAAATTTTACCTTATCTGGTACTATTAGTAAATCTGTAAATACAGTTTGCCAGTAAGACCACAGAAACATTAAAAATACGGCATGATAAAAAATCAGGTAAAACGCTGTCAACAAACAAACATAATATAATTTATTATTTCATCCGCACAACTTTTTATTCGCGTAAAAACAAGATTATTATCCATTTGTACTAATTAAAATTGACATACCTTTTTGAACATAATTATCTATTGTATCTAAAAGAAGATAAAAACAATTAATAGCAATATATATGCAATATAAAATATAATATACGCACAGAATTATATAAATCTAAAAATGTATTAAAAACAAGTAGTCTAAACATTATCTCCAATAGAATCTATTATATTTCTCTCGTATGATAAACAGTTTTTACTCTGCTTAACAAACAGAACTAGTAGAAGACTACACAATCGCATTTCTAACACTTTCTTTTTGTATAAAAGATTTAAATACCTAATAAAAATTACTTTCAATAGTTAGTCGTCGCATTTCTTTTTTTGCGAACAAATTGAAAAATTCGTATATTTATGTCAGAAATTTTTATTAATTAAACATACATAATATGTTTGCTAGCTATGTATGAATTTGGATGTAAATCTAAACGTAAAATACTGTTTAATCAGTTTCATCTTTAACCATTGGAATGTGTATGTAATACGTATCAATCGAACAACATGATATTCGATCGAGGGAAGTTCTAGTGTAGAGTTCACTTCGAGTCGAAAAACTTTTCTTTCCGAGAGCATCGGCTTTATACATATATTATTCGTTGTAAACAAAGAACAAGATATAACATAAATTTGTTGAAGAAGACAGCCACTTTCATTATAATAAAGGAAATTTAACTGTTATTAAACATTGAATGATAGAATATCGTGTGGAACGTTAGAATTCAAGGGATAATACTTACAAAAACATAATTCCACCACATAAGCGTAATAAGACCATACGATAACCGTCAAAATGAAAATAACTGGTATACAGGTGACGGTCTTCATAAACCACCAACAAGACCCGTCTTGCTTTCCCATGCTGTCAACCGTCTTGCAGATATGCATTTGTGCACGAAATTATTTCCCGTTTACGTATACATTATTTTTTTTATAATCAACACCGTGCACCGTCGCGGACACCTTGCACGAAAGGCGTACATGTAATCCGACATCCGATCAGAGTGCAAGCATGAATGCGGGAGTGCGAGCCATTGTACACTGATTCACTTGATTCGTTTTACCCTAGAAATTTCTTTAAAATCCCCAGGACGGCTCGAAGTTCTCACTGTACGTATGTAATGTAGAGCTGCGCCTTCGCAAGATAGTGAATCAAAACTAATTAATTTAAGAATTTCAGCATACATATACATATATATGTATGTGTACAATACTTATTATGTACTTGATACTAATTGTAAACGACAGATCAAAACTTCCCCCCCCTTTCCATCAAAATTTACACAATTCAAATAAACCGCCACATCACTAGGCAACGACTTTAGAATAGGCGTTCGTTCGTTTTACATACATATTATAAAATTATATATTTTATATTTCCAAAGTCTTCAATTTGTTAGTTTCATATACGATTATATTGGGAAACGAATTTTAATCACTAAAGAAACAATTGTATTAAAGAACGAGCTTTCGAAAAGGGGTTTATTACACTAAAGTGTTATTATTCGTGGTAAAAAGTTTATTGTTATACTAGTTTACAAATGCACGAAATTTGTGTTTCAGTTGTAAACAGTTGCCTAAAAATTTAATAGTTTTTAATCTTGATTGCTATAGTCACATATATTATTTTATTATATGTAAAATATTTACAGGAATCATTAAATAGAATACTTTGCTACCTCAACTTCTTTCATTTCCGGTTTAAGTATAGAACGAACGTAGCAAGTGCTAAAACAATTCTGTGAATTTTCATTTGGAAATATAGCGTTCAAAACATTGATAAAAATGAATATATCTTGACAAAATATAGAATTTAAATGACGTTCATATTTGAAATTAACTGTATTCATCGATGAAATCGATGTTAAAGATTACACATTTATGATTTTCACATGTAATACTGAAAGAAATCTAATAAATTAGTCATTACACTCAGTATGCTCTAAATACGTATGTAATTCCAAGGTTCTAATGTTTATTATTCAAATATTTGTTTTTAGAAATTAAAAGTTTTCCAAGTTTCACGAAGGGAGTCCCCTATGTTTTCTTTTAATTCTTGCATAGGGACCAATATCTGGGTCCATAACAAAATCATATAATACTGACGTCCACGAATCGTGGTGTGGTAAATTATCATAAAATTCGGAAGCTATTTTTTTTACCTGGAACAAACCCAAAATGGATATAAAATTCAAGGAATGTTTTTCATTAAACATATTTTCAATTAATCATTTTGCAACAAATAAGAACATATTTGCCTCTGGTAATCTTGAACCAGGAACAGCTGGAAAATCATGGTGTTCATTATGATATCCAACATTAAATGTAATCCAATTTAATGGACCATAGTAACTGTACGTCTCGAAGCCTTTCCTGTACATGTAATGTTCCGATATGAAATGACCAGCTACAGGATGTAGACCCATTGCCAATGCTGATCCAGAAAGTAAATATACTAAGGCTTTTCCACCTGTATGATTTATTATGAACTTTTACTGTACTGGTTAAATTTTATTTAAAAATAGATTCTATGCTTACCAAATAAATACCATATTGCCCCATCGAACACGAGCTGTATCACTAAATTAATGTATTCCAGATCTGTAGGCAATAATGGGTAAACAACGAGTGGTCTAAATGCATAAAAAAATGGCTGTAAAAGTACCCAACAGAATTTTCCAAATGTTGTACAAAATAACTTGGCTTCCACTAATGTTGGCAAATCAGTATCTAATACTTCATCTCCTTGATACTATAAATAACATTATTAGATTAATTATTAACTTAACATTTACATCATTATAAATAGCACGCGTGTCGCTTTTATACTCACACGGTGGTGTATAAGATGATACTTCTTAAAACTAACAGAAATTGGTATACCTATAGGTAAATTTGCAAAATATCCAAATAATCTATTTGCCATAGGTCTACAATGCCCAAAGGCAAGATTATGTGCTATTTCATGTATTGCTGAAATATAATTATATATATTAAGGATGTACAAAGTAGAAAGTTTAGATACTTTTTACAAAAAATGATATTACATTTAATTTACAACGATGTATAATGATTAAAGCTTACATATATCTTAGAAATGTGCATACTATTTCCTCAACAAGCTATACTAGTAGTAGTCACAAGGTACAATCGCTGCTGATTAGATTAGCGATGCTCGTATTAACTTAGGTGAAACATATACATACCTAACATCAAAGAATGATTAATTACTCCTCCAAAACAATATGCCACTAGAAAGATCATTGGATAATTTGAATCCTTTATAAAATACAAGGATACGAATTGAATTAAAACCAATCCTGTGACTACCCATTTGAACATAGGATCATATCCAAACAGTTTTTTTATTTGTGGATATTTTTCTAAAATAAAATGAGAATAATTGTTATCATATATTATTGTCGTTTATCTCGTATGCAAGTAAAGTTAATTGAATCATACAAACGCGTACTTTTATATATTATTATCGAGACGAAGATAAGTACAATTTACGATAAAAGTGTCAAATATAATCATTTTTCACGTACCCAAAATTATTTTGCGACGCGATGCATGCGGCTCTTCCGTGTAAACCCATTCGAAATCGGTTCTTGAAACGTGTTGACCCATTCTGCAACGTATCCCTAAACTTTATTTAATTTTTGCTTAGTAGTGACAAAAATCAAAACCAATTTATAATATACATTTATGTTACTTACATTAATGCTAGCAACCACTAGCAACTATGCCAAAACTGAGAATCTTTCATTACCCGGCGAATTCGTCAATCTGAATCTGAATGTACATATATATGTATTAATCACCGCAAGTTCAGATTACAGCACGATACGTGTCAATTGGCGTACATATGTATGCATTGTACTATGTACATATTGTATAAGGTGCATTTATGTATGTATATATATATATATATATATATATATATATACATTTATGTATGTAAAATTTAAATAATAATTTATATTATAAAAATTTGGTCGCTTTATTTTAACGGACGTCTAAAAATATAATAATCTTTCTTCCTAGTTTCTACTTGTATTGCTCTGTACATACTCCTGCACGCTTTTTCTACTCCCTAAGCTGGCGCGCACATCCCCACCATTTTGCTGCGCATCTAATTCGCAGTGGATTGCCTATTACCAACAATTATAAAAACGAGCTCTTCTCAAATTGTCCAATTTTGTTTACAAGCTGAAGGAAAATTAGTAAGTATTTACCGTAAACCTTATATGATAAATATGTATATACTTTAATGGCTTTGCCCTAAATCTGTTTATCTTTTTTACTCCTCAGAAAAATATTTATTTTGGATAGGTCATCAACTATTAACAGACCATGATGGACATAGAGCAATGTATTACATATCCATGTAATTTGCAAATGTATATTGTACCACCTACTGGGAAGATTAGATCAGAAGAGTTACGAGAATGGTGTATTGATAGAGTAAGAGGTAAGATAAAAGAAACAAAATTTGAAAATATATAATATATATACATGATAAAAATCAATAGATCTTGTTAAACATAATAAATACACTACACATTTTTGAAAATTCTGTAGCTGTTTATTTCTTTTATTCGTTTATAAGAGATTTGTACCTTAACAAGAATATGTTTTTATTTTATAGTTCTAAAATTAGTAGAGGAAATATTAATGAAAAATTATAAAAAAACACCTGTGCAATGTGCAGAAACTTTAATACATGAATTGGAAAATAATGGTATCCACGAATTTGCAAATCTCATAAATATTCATAATTATTCCCACAGTGGAGTAGAACATTTTGTAAGATACGATTGCGCATCACATTTTATACTTAGATCCGCATTTTCATTTGAGCAAAATAAGAAAAAATGGTTTGTCAAATACGAAACCAAGTTATTTGCTTGGCGACTTTCCTTCTTAGATAAAGATAATGTAAAAATGCTGCTTGATCTCAGTAATCTTCAATATTCCATTGTTAGTATTAAGTGTAGACATACTGTAAATATCATATAAATGTTGTATCAATTTTCTATATTTATTGACCTTTTTTATTCTATCGTAGGTGAGTTCAGAAGAAATAGAACAAATAAAAGATGATTTAATTCTGTCATCTGTTGAAAATGTCGCTAATATAAAATTTTATAAAACTTCTTTTAATAATGTAATAAGAGCAGTTAAAAAGCGACATGTATATATAAAAAATGGCATCGCTTATGTACCAGAAACAAAAATGTTTTGGCTAATTATACCTGCGTTTAATAAAACATTAATTAATGGATTTGCCGTAAGTTTAGAGCAGTAATAGCATAGTGACACGAACTTAGAATTATATATACCTACTATATTTTTGTTAAAATATATATTATTTTAGAATGCACGAGTAGTTGCATCAAATACTTATGGAAACCTTAAAATAACAGAAATTTTAGGTACATTATCAAGTCTTATTAAAACTCGATCGTTCAAGTGCAATTACCACAATGATGTCCCTATCGATCAATTGGACGAGGTATGTTCACGATCTCAATAGACTTATTGAAATAAGGTATTTGTAATTAAAAACATATTTAAGATTAATATGTTACTTTAAAATTTAACTAGTTATCGAGGACATCTTATCCGTTATGTATGAGATTACTACACGAAGCACTAAGAACAAAGCATCATCTCACAAATGGTGGTAGAGTTCAATATTGTTTATTTCTTAAAGGAATTGGTCTTAGCCTTAACAATGCAATACAGTTTTGGAAAGATGAATTTACCAAAACAGTTGATGAAAGAACTTTCGAACGAGAATATAAATATTATATTAAGCACTTGTATGGAGAAGTAGGCAGACGTGCGAAATATGAACCGTCTCCTTGTTTTAAAATATTCAAGGCTGAAGTTGGTTTAAAAGACAATCATGGTTGTCCATATAAACATATGGAATTACATATCCTTAAAAGTACCCTTACTAAATGTGGACTAATTCGATCAGGTTATCAACACTTTAAACGATTATGAAAAAGAAATAACAATATATAATAGAAAATGATTAATCTTGTGAATCAATTCACTGTCTTAGTTAATATTAATATATCCATTTACGTAATAGATAATTAAAAAACTTATGACTATTTTAGATATAAACTCAATAGTGGAACTTTCAAAAGATGGTCATTATTTGCAAGCATGTAAAAGATATTATGAAGCTAAGGATTTGTGTATTATAGGAAACACTATTGATCATCCAAATGAGTTTTTTGAATATAGTCGTAAAAATATTCAAACTGAGTGCCCAGGTAAGTTTTTCACTTAAAC